AACATATGATTCTGGCTGGGAAGTGATTATGTGGGTAGACGATAATAAATTTATATCTAACCCAATAATTGAGATATCAAGCTGGATCTCATGATGTTTGTAAAATAACGGGGTTAAAAATAAAATGTCTTTATTTTAATGAAAGAAAAGGGCAACCATTGACAGAACTGCCCCCTTAAGGAATGTCAGCACAGCATGAGATTTTGTAGCAGATTAAGAGAGAAGATTTTGAATTAACTTTGCTGATGTGAAAACTTCCTATTCTTAACCACAGGGCAATTTTTTCCCTCTGTAAAATTAATATCAAGTAGCATGTTTCAATGTCAAGTAATGCACATATTCACACACATACAACTGATGCTGAGTTCAAAAGACCATATTCTAAATAGTTTTAGAGTCACTAAAATTTGCATATAAATGAAACTATGACACCATCAAATTGGGGGAATATCTAAGCCGCCTGTCTGTAGGCTTTCTTAAACATAAATGCAAGATAAATATAGGAGGGAGCAATGGGTTTTAGATGTAATGCGTTTTTAAAAAGTCAGTATACTGAATGCACAACAGAATGCCAAGAGAAGAAACTCAGGCAACTAAGAGCCTCTCTCCAAATCATTCACTGACTCCTCAGGGGTCTTCAGAAAGACTCCTAATGGCCCTTTTCTAAAGCAACTGGCACAGATGCCAAATGACAGAGTTTGATGTTTGTAGAAATGCCTCAGGCTGAGCTTAAGACCCTGACCTCCATGTTGTCATCTGAGGGGCAAGCAAGCACCCCCTGCCTGAGACAGTAATCCCCACCCCAGCCTTCTGCCCCCTGAAGGCAGGCAGCAAGCCTGTTTGAGTTCACTCTCCCTCTCCTGAAGTGACCCTCATGTCTGACACAAGTTTCACTGCTGCACTCACACCCCAAGTGCCCAGTTGCTGGCCCTAACCCCCTCACTCCATGTTCCACAGTTACCTTGGCCTTCTGGAGACCATTTATCTGCCATCCAAATCCAGGGCTGTTTTTGTTCTGACTGTTCGTTTGCTTTCTTTCTCTAAACTCTATGAGCAAAATCCTAAATTGTCCTTCTGGTGCATTTCACTCAGTATAACCCCAGGCTCCATCCCTGTGCTCACAGATGGCGAGATTTCATTGCTTTTAGAGTAAACTATTTCACTGTGTCCGCATGCCAGGCCTTCTTTAAGTATTCATCCATCATTGAACCTTGCTTTGTTTCTGTACCCTGGCTATTGTAAATAGCATCACTGTAAACAAAAGGGTGAATATATCTTCCACAATGCATGTTTTCACATTCTTCAGGTATATACCTAGGAGGTATATACTGTATATACCAGTATATTTAGGTAGATACTTGTTCACGTGGGCATTTGATTTTTAAGTTTGTGAGGAACCGCCATATTGTTTTCATGGGAACTGCATCCATTCCTGATCTCACAAACACTGAAAGGGTTGCTTTGTCTCTCCACATGCTGCACGAAGCTTGTTTTTCTTTTAATTATAGGCTTGGCACAATGATATACAATACTGGTAAAGTCAGTGTTCCAACACCTTCCATCATTTTCTCAGTACCCCATCCTGTACCCCACACTCTCTACCTTGGTAAGCTCAGTTCTATAGACCAGTTCTCAGCTTCTGTTTGTCTTTAGCCATTTGTTTTTTCCCTTACTATATTTCTTTATATTCCACATATGAGGAAAATCATTCTGTAGCTGTCCCTCACCTTCAGACTAACTTCAGTCAGCATAATAATATTCTCCAGACCCATCCACAAAGCCGCAAAGTACATAATTTCATCCAATTGTCAACAGTATGCAATTCCGTCATTGTACCAGAGATTCTTTATCTGTCCATCTGTTCTTGGACATTTGGGTTGTTTCCAGATTTAGAAATAGTGAGTTTGAAAATTTGTGAATAGTGCTGCAGTGTACACAGGAGTACAAACATCTTTCCTTAGTAGAATCTTAGGATAGATGACAAGAAGTGGAATTTCTGGGTCATACAAAAGCTCTATTCTGAGTGTTTTGGAAAGTTTCCCAAAGGTGTTGAACCCTCACCAGTGGTGGATGAGGACTTCTTTTTCCCCACATCCCCATAACAATGGTTGTTTTGTTTATGACATCTGCCAGTCTCTGTGGTGTGAAGTGATATATCCATGTTTATTTTGATTTGCATTTCCCTGATAATAAGTGGTGCAAAGCAATTTTTCCTATACCTACTGACCATCTGTATGCCTTCTCTAGGAAACTTCATTTAAAAAAATTTTTTTTACATTTATTTATTGAATGACTGTGGGAAAAGTTACAAAGATTTCAGGTTTAAGTCTCAGTTACACAATGATCAAACACATTTCCCTTCACCAGTACTTATTTTTAACGACCAAGGACCCCAATATACCCCCCTGCCACCCCTTCCAATGCCTGTGAGGCAGATGAATTCTACCTAACACTCTATCTACTTTGATTACATTCAATTTCGACAAAAGATGCACCATTATTGTTTAGAGTTTACACCCAACAATCAGAAATGCTGAAAAGGCATTGTGAAATAATTTTTTTCTACAGTTAGTTAGGAGAACCATATGATGTCGCATGGCCGCTATCACTATCGCAGCCACGCGAATTTGGATTTCCAATATATTACTTATTAAGCCTGGAGGTATTTCTGCCAAGAGCCAGATAATTATGAGATTGGTTTCTGTGGCTCTGGAGACATGGTCGTGCGGGAGAGCCGCTCGTAGGGGGCAACTCGTGACCTCCGTAGGGCATGAAGGACAAGCTGGGAACACCCCCCTTCAGTTGCCCCGTCACCACCGGCTCATACCTGGCTTTCCAAAAAGCTCAGAGGAGGTCGCCATTTTACTGCCCAGGGGGGAAAAGGCGGAAAGGAGCGACACCCCTTCCCTCCAGGGCAGGCATGGTATGTGGATTAACGCATAGTCCATTCACTTTTCTGCTGCAAGCTGCTGGGATCTGCATTAAGTCCTTGTACTTCTGGAGCCATGAAACTTCATTTTTTAATAGGGTTTTTGGGTAAGTTTTAAAAGTGCTTTATAGCTCTTCATATACCTTTTGTCAAATGAGTGGTAAGCAAATATTTTTTCCCAGTCAGATGTCCTATTATTCTGATATTATTTCTTTTGTGGGACAGAATCTTCCTAATTTGGTGCTGTTCCATTTACTTATCTTTGCTTCTGTTGCTTGGTCATTGTTTATTGAAAATGCCTCTCTCTATATATTTTAAATAGATAAAAATTACTTTTTATTTAATTTTTATTAGTGGATCACCATGAGGTACATATTTTAATGTTGTGAAGGGTTCTGCCTAGTTTCCTCAATATAGTTTATACATTTGATCTGATACTCAGGTAATTAATCCATTTTGAACAGACTTTTATTCTTGGCATGAGAATGGGTTCATTTTTTCCCATGTGTCTGACCAGTTTTCTCAGCACCATTTATGAAAGAGTCTTTTCCTGCTCCGCTTTATAGTAAAGTAAAGTAAAGACCCTCCCGTTGATCACCGATTTGCTCGAGCGGGCCCAGTAACGTCTCCATTGGAGACTTTGTTGTTACTGTGTTTGGCATATCGAATACTCTCGGTAGCTTGCCGGGCTCTCCGAGAGGGGTGGAGGAATCGAACTCGGGTCGGCCATGTTGGCTGCGTGCAAGGCAGATGCCCTACCCGCTGTGCTATCGCTCCAGCCCACGTACTCTCATCAAATGTCTTTAATACATCTATTGAGATAGTCATTGTCAAGGCAACCATGCTGGCAATGACTGGCAGAAAGAGAAAATAATTGAGAGCATTGATTGTTTTATAATAAGTTTTCAAACTGTGGGTTGGAGCTATAATACAGCATTGATAGCTCTGCTTTGCTTGCCTTGCATGCGACTGACCTGGGTTTGATCCCTGGCACCCCCATATTATTCCCCAAGCCCCACCAGGAGTGATCCCTGAGCACAGAGCCAGGAGTAAGACCTGAGCACTGCTGGGTATGGTTCCAAATTTTTTTTGGTAAAGTAATCTAAATGCTAAGCTATTCATTGTTGGGATTCTGTAGGATGTTTGAAAGCATTCACATACCCTTGGGAATGGTTATGTGTGCATCAATGCAATGATTTTGTAGTTGGACTCATTCAAAAAGGTGGAGCAGATGTTTTCCCCTTCCACAGCTCTGGTTCAGACAGACAAGGACTCTCAGGGGCCCTGGAGGCAGGAAGGGGAGGGGAAGGGTGTGGACAGGTGACAGCAGGAGCTCAGGAATCAGTGTGCCAGGTCAGAGGACCCCAGCCCAGAGGCTGTACTCTTGCCCCACATGCTGTTTCAAGACAAAAGCAGGAGTTAGGCCCAGGCAGTCTGCACGGCTCTCCTCACGGTGCCCACCTCTGAGACTGGACAGGCCCCATCCATCACCCCAGCCTGAGGCATATCTCCAAGTCCTGGCAGCAAAAACTCAGAGAATCTTATTCCCGGGAATAGTGAACATGGTAACCAGAACATGATAACTAGTATCTGGAAAGTTTAAGGAACTAGAACTGCAAGCTGATGAGACCCAGCTGGTCTCTGCTCACAGAGGCGAGAGATTAAATGGGGGGAGGTAGAGGTCAGTGTCCAGCAGGGGGAGCTCGGCCTATCTGCGTCAGTGACTCACCCAGATGAGGGGTTCAGGCTGGAGACTGGAATCCCGGATGAGGACCACATAGGAACATTCTGGGTTATTTGGCTTTTGCTCATTTTTTTTCCTGGACTTTGAGAACAATTTTGAGAGAAAAATACAGTCTTTCTCTCAATTTTTAGACTACTATTTCAATGGCCTGCTATTAAACGATCAGAATTATAATTTTGACTCCACTGTTTCGTAAGCCTGACATGGTGACACAAGGATTGGGATGAGGCTCAGAGTCAGATTGCCTGACTCACACATGGAGGTCCTGGGTTCGATCTCTGGCACTGCAAGAATAAAGCATTCCTGTGTGTTCTGTATACTTTGCAGATGGCTACCCTAAGGAAGAAATGATTTATAGATGGAGAAAAAACTCAGTCGAGGCAGCAGATCAGAAGTCCTGGCGGCTTTATCAGTTTGACTTCATGGGCCTGAGGAACACCACGGAGACCGTGACCACTTCTGCAGGTAGGAGTTAACTTCAAGAAGTACAGCTCTCCCAAGTTTGGGCCTTCACCTGCTCATGCCTAACCCTTCACACAGTCACACATTTACTGGAGAAGTTCTTATGTGTGATGTAAGTAATTATGTTAGGGCAACCATGTCTGAGACTCAGTGATATTTGAGGCCCAACAACAAATTCAAGGTGAAAATCGATGTAACTTTTTAAAAGAATGTTGTGATAGAGATAGGCAAATGGAGGTGAGATTTGCCTTGTATTTTTAAGTCGATATTGTTTGGATTGTGTCTATCCATCTACCCAGGGTTTCCCACTACTTATATCAACCAATTTTACGAGTGGTGAGAGATCTATGGCTTTCCCCAGAGGCAATGAGAAGCCAAGAATCATGAGGATTCACAAATGAAAGAAGGCAAAATGAAATATACCTGAGTTGTAGAGTCTAGCTTGTTCTTTCTCTTCACTCTAAACTTTCTCTCGAACCTTGAGGGTGATGGTTTTTCCAAATGGTGTACAGAATGCAATATTGTCACCAATTTGATGTTATTAAGTGATCATGCATATTAAAGGTATAATTAGAAAGAGCTGTTCCATCCATTAGCATATTCGAAAATTTTTGGCTTTGTTTTGTTAGGCAAATATGCTATTTGCCTATTACCATGGTCCGTTATTTTGCAGAATGTTGAGTGCACAGAGGGTCCAAGTTGGTGGTTTTTACTGATTTTATTGTTTGTTAAGATGAATAATGTATTGACTCTTATGATTTCAGAATAACATGTTTCCTTGGTGACTATGTTAAGATGTAAATTTTGATAGTGGTAAATATCTTTAAAGGGAAGTTAAAATTCTTGATGGAATTACAAAATAAAGAGTCCTTAGCACATTAAAAAAATGTCTGTGTGCTGAAAGTAGACTACAGACCGAGTGATGGCCATTCAATACCTCTATTGCAAACCACAATACCCATAAGGAGAGAGAGAGCAAAAGGGAATGCCCCGCCACAGAGGCAGGGCGGGGTGGGGGTGGTGGGAGGGATACTAGGATAATTGGTGGTAGAGAATGGGCACTGCTGAAGGGTTGGGTACTCCATCATTGTATGGCTGAAATATAAGCACAAAAATTTGTAAGTCTGTAACTGTACCCCATGGTCACGGTCCTCCCATTGTTCATCAATTTGTTCAAGTGGGCCCAGTAACGTCTCCATCATGAGACTTGTTACAGTTTTTGGCATATGGAATACGTCACGGGTAGCTTTCCAGGCTCTGCTGTGCGGGTAAGATACTCTCGGTAGCTTGCCGGGCTGTACCCCACAGTGAGATAGATATATATATATATATATATATATATATATATATATATATATATTTGCTCGAGCGGGCCCAGTAACGTCTCCATTGGAGACTTTGTTGTTACTATGTTTGGCATATCAAATACATCACAGGTAGCTTGCCAGGCTCTGCCGTGTGGGCAAGATACTCTCAGTAGCTTGCCAGGCTCTCCGAGAGGGGCGAAGGAATAGAACTCGGGTCGGCCATGTTGGCTGCGTGCAAGGCAAACGCCCTACCGCTGTGCTATCTGAGGATCCAGGCTAAAGGCTCCAGTGGTAGAGCACATACCTTGTCTGCACTGGCCCTGACCCTCTCATGGTTTCATTAACCCTTTACCTGAAGATCCTCGATGCTCTTCAGTGATGCTGTGTTCTCACAGCGTTGCTGGGACAAGTAGCCAGAGCACTCTGGGTCTAGCTGCACTGCGTCCCTGGCCTGGTGTAGAGATCAGGTCCATGTCACCCTCTGGGCAGCATTGCAAGGAGCAGCCCTGTACCATTTAAAAATAGAAGAAGGGGGGGAAAGGCCTAAAAGGGTACTTGATCAGCATAGAAAGACTCCGCCTCCTGAGGCCTCCTGGTGGGAGGTGAAAAGCTGCATTTGTGCTTAAAATTTAACTCAGGGAAGGAAGAGCATGATTTATTAGAATGAACCATGGAGGCAGTGTTTGGGGAGAGGCTTTTTCCCAGTAATGAGTCGTCAGTGTCTTGCTCCCTGCTCCTTACTTAAGAGGTTGAAATTCACTCCCACACCTCTGGGGTGTCAGGGAGCCCAAGCAAAGGAAACCCAAATGCTGTTCTAACATTTACACGTTAACGGTGCTCTTCACTTCCTGCTGCTCCAGGTAGGAGGATGTTTAATGAAAGGAAATGCAAAGGCCACATTGAACGGACCTAGCTTGGAGATGGAAAATGGAAGGCAAGGGTGTGCAAGGACCGGGTGTGGGGAATGGGGGAAGTTAATGGTCTGAGCAGTTATACTCTTCAGTATCATTGTGGGAATAAAAGCATGAGAATAATCACTGTGAAGGCAGGATTGATAGTTCAGTGGGGAAGGTGCCAATTCAGGTTACATCCTGAGCACCCACAGGGGCCCTTGAGCCCTGCCAGGAATGACCCTGGAGCTCTGAGCTGGGAATCAGTTTTGAACACTACTAGGTGACCAAAAATAAATAAATAAATAAATAAATAAAATAAGAAAATATATATTGCACAAGGAGCTTTCAGACTCCTCAGAGAATATATAACAGGAATTTAGGGGTTGGCAGTTGTAGGGCATTTGCATTGCATGCGACAGACACCCAGATTCAATCTCCAGCACCCCATAGGCTTCCTGAGCCTGCCAGGAGTGATCACTGAGTGCAGAGCCAAGATTCAGACCTGAGCTCCCCCCAAAATAAAACAAAATGTATCTCAGAGTTCAGTGAAATTATTTGGTGATTCACCAATTATTTGCAAATCTGGCAAATACTGGATGTATGGGATTAGACAAATGCCAGATACCAGGGAACAAAACAAGAGTGGTGCAATCAGTAACAGACCCTTGGTATGTGTGGGAGGAAATTCTTTTTTTTTTAATATTTCTTCTTTCTTTTTTTATTGAATAACTATGAGATACAGTTACAAAGCTTTCATGATCAATTTTAATCTTATAATGTTCCAACAGCCATCCCTCCATCAGTGCATGTTTCCCACCACCAATGTCCCCAAGTCTCCAGTTTCCCTCCTGCCCACCCCCAGGGCGCTCTCTGTCTCTGTCTCTGTCTCTGTCTCTGTCTCTCTGTCTCTGTCTCTGTCTCTCTGTCTCTCTCTCTGTCTCTCTGTCTCTCTGTCTCTCTTACACACACACACACACACACACACACACACACACACACACCCTCCCTCCCTCCCTCCCTCCCTTCCTCTCCCTTCTTCCCTCCCTTCCTTCCCTTTGGGCATTATGATTTGCAATACAGACATGGAGAGTCCATCACGTTTGCTCCATTACCCACTCACCCTCTTGCAGCACACATCTCCCACCTAGAGCGATCTTTCCAATCATCATTGCCAAAATGGTCCCTCTCTATCCCAACTGCCTTCTGAAGAAAATTCTTATTTCCTCAATGGAGGAAGGCCACCATGCTCATCCCAGTGGGACTGATTTTGTGAATCAAACCAGATCTGAACAAGTTGGTCAGCATGCTTCTGCAGAAGAATCAGAACAAACACAGAGAGTAAGGTGCAGACCTGGATCAGGCAGGATGTGGATCTGGAATTATTCCTTCCTGAGACTGCACCCCTCGTCTGCTTTCCTGCCTCCACAGGTCTCCACTCAAGGCTTCCAGAATCTTCCTGCAATCCAGAGAGGTTTTATGTGCATTCTCTACCTAGCTGTAGGGCTGTGAGCAAAACCCCTTACCCAAAGATCCATGTGCTCTTTGGTGATTTACTGTTCTCAAACACAGCCTGTGAGCTGAAACCAGAAAGTCTAAATAGTTGATCAACTGTCACTGTATACTATGCAGCTATATGTGGATGTAAAAATGGTACTTGAGGCAACTTTCTCACACATCACAGTGCCCGGACATCAGAACCATGAGGAGACTCAAAACGCAGCATGGCCAAGTCATGCCCACAGAGAGGTATTGGTGGAGACAGATGCCTCCAGAGCCAGACTATCACATGCCCTGTTAGTCGTGTGAGAGGCTTATGTCCATGTGAGTGTTGAATATAGCAAAAAAATAGTAAATTTTTGGTGAAACATTAACAATCACTTTACAAATATGTAAGCAGTGAAATGCTCATTAAAAATTGGCTGTTTTTCCCCAACTATTTTCCATACCAACTGGAAGTCATCAAGAAAAACATTTCTAACTACTATTATTCTCCACTAAAATTTATTTGACATATAGGTTTGTATAAATTCAGTGTGCATTACTAATGCCTAATCAGCTCAGCCATAGATTCAACTGCTGTTGGGGCAGGGGGTAAATTTACTCCTCTGTGATGCCACACAACCCTCATGCCTTTGTAGTGCTTCGGATCTACTTGATTATTAAAGTTTGATGATAAGACTACAACACACTTGTCTCTATTAACCACACAGCATATTGTTTCTCCTGAACTGACTGACTCGCCGTCAATGGCATCTGTGCTGTTCCTAGATTCAATCATGTATTAACTTGTTTGGTTGCAAAAGATACCCTGGGAAAGCTAGAATGTATCTTGATCATGCACAGCCACAGGGAGTTAGGAATTTAGAGTTTATTAAGACATGTATTCACGAGCCCAAGAGATAGTACAGAAAGAAGGCAAGGTGTTTGCTTCACAAGCAATCAGTTTGATACCTGGTACCACATATGGTCCCCCGAGAAGCGCCAGGCATCACTTCTGAGCACAAAGCAAAGAATAGACTCTGAGCACCTCCGGGTATGGGGTAATATCATCCTTGTCCCACACTTGTCCCCCAAAAGGCATATTAATAGAAGCATTTCACATCAGCTGCTGCATGAGCAAGGGGGAAAACTCACTGCTGGCACTCTGAGGAAGACTCACATGTACACACAGGTTTCTGCATAAGGGGACAGTGTCAGGGTTAGCAGAAGCATTCCCTAAGCATAGCAATCACTCAGGAAATGATTCTTCCTACATTCTCCTCCTGCAAAAGGCCAGCATGCATCCAGACAAGGAGGAATTGTG